AAAAGTACTAAAAAATACTCTTTCTAGTAACCTCAACCATACACACACTCCAATTGCTTTATTACTATTATAATTAGATAATTTTGATTTTTCTTTGTAAATCCTAACCTAATCAATGAGCTTCAACAAGTTGTAACTTTTAATCTATCTATCTATTTGATACAAAATTTTACATACAAATATTAGTATAATTATTTTATATTTTTTAAAAAATTTAGCCCAATTCAATTTACAAATTGTGAGAAAACATCCAAAAAACCACACTAATATTACTTGGATACCAACTCAAAATTGATGCAGATATTCCTATAGTAATTTCTCCTTCTTCAATCTTTAAATTCAATTCAAAATTAGTATATAGCTTAATCTTTAAGTCTTCTATCACCATGCCAAATTTCACTCTATTTTAACTATTAAATCTTTAAATATCATAAAAACCCTATTTAACTTTAAACTACCAACTTTTGATATATTCTTGTACCTAAAATCAAATATCTCTCAACGACATCATTAGATTAATACAAGATTTTAAGCACACTTAGCATACTCAATCCACCAAGTATTATCAAATTTTGAACTATAGATGTGATATCAATTACACAAACTAACTGAGAAAGCTAGCCAAAATTGTATTGTATAAATCTAAAGTCTCTAATACAAATCCTAACTTTGAAAAACAATTGCAAAGTTATTCCAAATTCTATGAAAATAAGTCTTTTGTCTTTAGAACAAGATTGAAGCTAGCTTTCCAATCTTAATAGCTGAAAGTGTGATTTTAATCTTATTCCACGAATAATCAATCCTTGGATATAAATCCAACCTACCTAGGAATTTTTTAGTCCAAGTATATCTTCAATTTAATCTTAGTCTCAACCTTACTCATTATATACTTCTTTCATCTTATTTTTATCAATTTATGGCTTTTTTAAGATAGTAAAAGAATTTCTATAGCTTAGAAGGTAAAATTATTAAGCAACCTTTAATCTACTAGCTATTAAGATAAAAAAAAAAATTAAGAGATTTTTATAAAAGTAATGCTTAAATATTTTGAATTATTGTTGAACAAAGATGATTAAATATTAATTAGAAATTTATTTTAATTATATTTTCATCATATAATTGTATTACAATACAACAATGGTCTTGACGCCAATATGATAAAGTTTCTAATTCTTTTGTATTGCTAAAGCTATCATCATATAAATTGTGTTTTATTTTACCACAAGAGTAAGATTTTCTTTATAATCAATTCCATAAATTTTTTTAAATCCATAGGCTATTAATCTTATTTTTTTCTTTTGTAAAATACCATCAAGTTGAAGCTTGGGTTTAAAGATCCATTTTATAGAAATTGATTTTTTACTAGGAAAGAGAGACATGAATGTCTAAGTATTATTATTGTAAATAGATTGCATCTTATTTTTCATAGAAGTGAATTAATCCACACCTTTTATAGCTTCTTGATAAGAAATTGATTCTATCATAGATAGAGTAAAAAATCTAAAGAAGTAATCTTGTATTTATTTTAATAGTTTGATTACTTGTTAATTGGAGAAAAATATGGAGAGAAATGTAATAAAATTAGTGGATATGTAATTTTTTTCTTAGAAACTTAAAGATAGATCTTCAAAAGAATCATAATATATAAAATAATTGTCATTGATTTTGCAAGTTATTCAAGTATTAAGATCATCAAAATTTATATGATAGGATATAAAATTATTAAAGATAATGTAGATATTTCTTTGGATAGTACTGAGGTGTCCAAAGTAGAAATGAAAAGAAAAAATGAAATTAATGTTAAGTTAATTAAAGAGGAGTCTAAAGTTTGTAGATTATCAAAAGATAATATAATATATATAAAAATAGATGTAATCTCTAAGTCATCTTCATCATTATTAATATCATTGGAGGTAGATTTCTTAGAATAAAGAGATTGAAGGTCTTTAACAATAAGTATTAGTATTACAAGATTTAAATTGAAAAAAGCATATTTCATCAAAGAAGATATCTCAAGTGATTTAAATTTGATAATAAGCAGATAAATACACTCTAACTTCTTTAGATTCATCAGCAATTTTTAAGAAGATGCTAGAATTAATTTTAAATTTAAATTTTAATTTTTGTACATTATCTTTTCTTATGTATCAAAAACATCCAAATTTTTTAATAGAATTGACATCACATTTTGTATCATAGAATAGATAATAAAGAAGCATACCCTGATTTGCATAAGTAAAAGTAAAATTAATAAATTGAAAAATAGTTTAATTACTTTAGTTTATAAAAATAAAGATACACTTCTATTAATAAGTATGCTTCTCTCTTTATCTAATATAATTCTATTTTTTGTTTTGAAACTTTATTTTATTGAGGCATATAGACTATAGAAAGTTGACAAGTTGTGGTCTTGTAGGTACTAAAATAAATTATGTAAGATGAATTTGTCTCTTTAATCAAATCAAATTAAGAAGATGGACTTAAAGATTTTTTTTTCAACTATCTTATGAAATCTCTTGAATATATCAAGAGATTAATCTTTAAAAATCATGAAATAGATCCACAATTTTTTTTTTAAAGTTATTTATAAATAAGATAAAATAACAAGAGTGAGCCAATGATATAATAAAAAAAGATCCACACATCAATGTGGATTAATTCTAAGGATTTTCTAGTTCTATTTTGAGCTTATTTAGGAATTAAATGTTTAGTTTGTTTCTCTAAAAAGCAATAACTACATATTTGATTTCATATAAGAAGAGAAAAGAGTTCCAATATTAGGTGGTGTATTTATAGATGTTGAAGACTTTTGTAGTTTAAATGTCTTAAGTATAAATACCCAAGATAGATGAAAGATTCTACAATCTTACTAAAAGTTCTAAAATAATAAGTTGAATATTATATATAGATCTATTATTAGTATCAAAGTTATTAGAAGATAATTAATTTAATTTATATAGTCAAATACTAGGATCATGATGTTTTTTTCCTATAATTTTATAAGATTTAATAGTAGATATAACAATACATTATTTAGGTTCAAAAATAAAAATAAAATTATTAATATTTATGATTAGTCTAATAGATAGGATGTTTCTTCTTAGACTAAAAATGTAGCAAATTTCTTTTAGAATTTTTATTTTTCCAATAGGCTTAGTTAGATTCACTGACTTTTAGTATGCAATTCGATGGAAATTGCTTCCAACCAATGTAATTATACTATTATAGGAGCAGTCTATTTCATTGAATGTAGAGTAGTTACTAGTGAAGTGCTTTGGAGTACTAGAATCTAAAATCCATTCATTGTCGACTTTGTCTTTAAGTGCTAGAAATTCAAAAGTTTTTGATATAGCTTCATCACTTAATAGATTAGTTTAAAATAGATCTTCATAACTTTCTTTTGCAAAGCTAACTCCATGTACAGAGAAGAAACTACTTGAGTTTCCAATAATTGGATAATGGTTGGTATAGCTTTAGTGAAGAATTATATTGAAGAATGTATAACATACATTTGAAGTGTATCCTTCTTTTCTATATTATGCACAAATGAAAAGGCCTTGTAAAAGAGCTTAATGGTAGTGATGAAGGCCTTAAGGACTATGTATTAGATCACAATTTTAGCCTTGATGTGGTAAAAGACTCCTGTAAAGGCGGTTGTGATAAATGTTTCAAATCCTTATGATAAGAGTCTTATCAATAAGTTCATGAGATTTCTTGAGTATTGCATTAGTTTCTTCTATGTGAAGTCTACTTCAAAGTTTTTTCAAAGAGAGCAAGTCTTTTTTTGTTTTGCATATGTGATAATTTTTTCAAAGAATTTTAGTATGTGATTTAGAATTCTATAAACTGTGACTTTTAAAGGTTACTTTAGATTCATATATTTTAAATCTTTGATAATATTATTTATATATTGTATAAAAGAAGTAACATCATGATGTTCATCTATTTGCAAGTATTTCCAAAAATTGAGTAAAATCATAGTGTTAAATATATATTGGCAAGAAACATCTTTTTAAGTTGGTTCCAAGCAACTCGTAGAACTTGAATGTCAACAATGTAGTAGTATAAGTCAAGAACAAGAAAGAATTGAAGAAAAGCTTTGATGTGATACTTATGTTTGTAGTCAACATCATAATTCACAGATATAGTAGTGCCGTCCTTGGCTACCACTACTTTTTTCTTCTTGTCTTGTTTGGTGGTAAAATCATCTTTAAATTCAATGACATTTCATAGCTCTTCTTTTTCAAAGGTGTTTTACATTGTCACAATTCATCTTTTGTACTTCTCAAATCTTGTTAGCATGGATTCTTTTGAGCAAATATTTTTGCGGATATTAGATATTTTGTTGTTTATAAGTGTTGTTAAGCTTGTAAGAAAAAGCAATAAAAGAAAAATAAAGAAGGAAGTTGAAAATGATAAAGTTTCAGAATAGAAGACGAGTCTCAAGTTTATTACATCATAAGAGCACTTGATTGTGCAAATAAAAGAATAATAAAAAGTGTCAATTGATGCTAGAATATTATCCTAAAAAAACATGTATTGACATATATAAGACATTTCTAAAAAAATTGATTGTTAGCAAAAAAAAATTAAGATTAAGAGAATAATAGAAACAAAGAATAGAAAAACAAAAACTTGAATAAATGATTTAAAAAAAACTTGAATAAAAGCAAGAATCTATGCAAGGAAAACCTGCTCTGATACCATGAGGAATAAGCATAAGAATCAAAAAAAGAACCACAACCTAAAAACAAGCAATATAAGATAGTAGAATATCAAGAATAAAAATAAACAACTTAGAGACCCCTGTGATATCACATAAGATATATATATATATATATACATATATATATATATATATGCATAGATTAAGATCTGGATATATTAGATTTCAACAACAACTAGTGACTGAAGTGGATGAATGTACTAATTTCTACCGGGAGGAATAGAAGGATAAGACGTAAATTAATCATTGCTCCAACAGGCTACACAATCAAAACTGCATTGGAAACCCGCTCACACCTCACGCACAAGTCTCCATCGATAATCAACAATAGAAAGTTTTTACATTACATCGGCACCTTACAAAAAAAAATAAAAAAATAAAAAAATAGAAAAGCCCCGGAGGACATCCAGGTCCGGCTAACAAAACGCTACTCCTGTCGATCACCACCACCGAATGCGCAGATACTTGCTTCTTAGCCAGAACATGTGATTCGGTCTGCACGATGCGACGATCGATTGACAATTACTGTTGTATCCGCGCTCGTGCTGTCTGTAAGCTTATGCGTAGAGCTCCGGGTGCTCCTTCACGTCGCCGGCAAGGGCCTTCCACACCAGCTGCACTATGCCCCAGATGTGCTCCGGAGGGCCCATGTTGCCCAGGGGGCCGTAGGACGCCATCCAGAGGCCCTCGGTGGTACCCTTGGTGGGCCCTTCGTTGAACTGCATCGTGGCTTTGAAGCACCAGTACCGGGGATCGCCCTTGAGCACTGTGTAGCCGAGCTTGCGGGTTTCCTTGTCGAACAAGTCCATGCGCTCGGTGACTTCTCCAGCGTGGGGGACAGCTGCAAATTCGTGAGCAACCAGTTGTTAGAGGGAGAGATCAGGCGGACGGTACAGCGGGTTCGAAACGGAACGGGGCGAGAAGGGTGTTTTTACCAGGTCCCATCTTCACAACGCGGACGCTGCCAGGCTCGCCGTGACCGTTCAGCAGCGTGACGGTCTCGAAGAATTGGGGCATGGCCTTGGCGAGAATGTCGTCCACTCTCTCACAAGCTTTCCAGATGTCTTCGGGACTTACATCCAGCGTCTGGACATGCGTCAGGGTTTTCTTGTCGAGCACGGCGCGCTCAAGGGTTTTGAGCATCAGGGCTGAGAGGGCCTTCTTCTCTTCGGGAGGGCCCATGTCGCCGACCGGCTCGTACTTGGCAGTCCAGGTCGCTTCGGTGGTGTCGCCCTTGGGGACGAGCTGCACCTGCTCACTGAAGGAGCTGTAGCGGGGATCGCCCTCCAGGACGGTGGCGGCCATCGTCATGGTGGCGTCGTCGAACTTGTCCACGCGTTCCTTGATTTGCCCCACGTGAGGGATGGCTGCAAAAAGAGAGGAAGGAGAAGAAAACAACCATCGCTGTTAACCAGACTGTCTCAAATGCGAGCGCGAAACTAGTCCGACCATGCTAGATTCGTGCCTGCGGGGTAATGCATTCACCGGATTCAGGAACCAGGACTCGGAAAGACGGGGCGGAGCAAAACCTGAACCCAGGATGATCACACGGATGCTGCCAGGCTCGCCATTGCCCTGCACATACTCCGATTTTGCGAAGAACTCAGGCATGTTGGCGCGCATGAGCGTGTCCGCCTGCTTGACGGCCTCCCATAGTTCGTCCGCGCGGACCTGGAGCACTTCAGTGTGAGAGATGGTCTGAGACATGGCTACGGTCTGTAAGCTCCGACGAGATCAACGAGGAGCTCGCTGCAGTGGGAGCAGGAGCTTCAGAGATATTGAGACACGCAATGTGACACACGATTCGTAAGAGGGCGAGACGAGGAAACGGGTGGGAGGACCCTGCACTTAAAAGGAATGTTGGATTGGAACACTGTCAATGTGAGTTGCCCACCAATAAAGTCAACTCGAGTCGTCGCTGCGGCTTCTCGGACGACCGACCCGCTGTTCGCCTTTGGCTGCAGCGGTCTTTGATGGTCGCCGAGGGCGTCCCCGCCGAGAACTCTGTATGCTTCATTCATCCATCCAGTCATTCCCCCAGAACATCATCGCCTCATGTGAGGACTCACTTCTGTGTATCTTCGATGCGTTCGTTCGGCAGTCAATCATCTCTTCTAGAAGCAGGATTTGGTCCGGTATCGGAACTGTAATCTTTGATTCCTGATTTGGACTGCGGGCGAGCGGTGCTGTGTGAAACGGAAGTTGGGTTGGAATATACTCATGGTCCTCTTCGTTTCGTCTGGGCTCTCCGTTCAGAGGGCGACTCTAGTCCGGATGACGCATGAATGGGTGGCGGAATGTCGATTTTTGCACGCCGTTTTCCGCAGCGACCATCCGGGAATGTTTCAGTTTTCCCCGTATTTGGTGGCAGTTGGCTGCGGCAGCAGGGGCGATCGAGTTGCGAACCAGGGCCTCCGTTGCACTGATGGTTCTGTGGAGTTTTACCCAGCATGCCTTGCAGTTCATCTGCCATTGTTGGATTGCCAATTCATTGTTCTTGTTTTTGTATTATATGTGAGTGGATTACTCCACTTGTATTGTTGTATTTTTTAAGATTGCTAGTTACCAAGCTTTAATCTCATTTTTTTAATACGGATTTTGTTTTCCTAAAGAGAATAAATTACTCCTCGTTGTAGAAATTTCTATTTGTTATTAGAGATTGCAGATTATTTTCCTCTTATTTGACCTTTAGATTTTTTGACTTCTTTAATGAAAGAAAACTTATTGATGCTATTTGTAGCAAAAGTGAGAATAGATTTGTAACTATTGTAGGTCTTCATAAGTTTATCATCATTCCTAGGGTTAAAATCTAATGTATAGTTAATGTCAACCATGGAGGTAGTATTTTGATGCCTATGGAAGAGGTCAATAACAAAATTTAAAGTTTGCACCAAGAAGTTGTATAATTGAGAGAAGTTAGTTGATCAAGCTCACAACTACATTAAAGAAGCCTTGTTACTCTAAGGATGAAAGAAGCTTGGATAAGTATGTCGAAGAAGTTTGATGGAACAAGATTAAAATTTTGAGGATTTCTACAAAAAATAAAGCTCTATTTAAGAATGCATCTTTCTCAATACCTTGATAGATTTACTCATGTTAGATTCATAAGTGTAATTTTCTCTAAAAGTACTCTTACTTGGTTTGCATCTTTGATAAAAAAAGATTTATGCATTCTCTATGATTTGAATTTATTCTTAGAAGTGTTTATGGCCACTTTAGAAAAAATGATTGAAAAATGGTAAGAGAAGCCAAGCATACTGCTTAATATTGTCCAAAAAAACAAGACCATTACAAAATAATGGTTGCCAAAGGAGACAATGTATTGGAAAACAAGTTCTTTCAACTACAATAAGAATGGTGTGGCTGAAATCTTATGCAATACCTAATAAAGGTCCTATTCTCTACTCACATCCCTCATCTTGTTTTACAATAGAAGTTTATTTAGGACTAAAAACTCACAAAGTCTTAGTCTTGTTAGATTTAAGAGCCTCAATATGCTGTCTAAACAAAGACTGTTAAAAAACAAGAAATATTCTTAGTTGAGAAAATCATACTTGTGCACATAGAAGTAATAGATGATTTTTTGTTGTCTTTTTGAAATATCATCCATAAAGTTATTCCTTTAGATGTAGCAACTACTGGTCATAATTGCTTAATAATGTTTATTGTAATCAGATTTCTTTTTAATCTAGTTATTTTAAGATTATTGTAGTTAAAAAAATATAATCTTCAAATAGATTGGATTTTTTATAACCTTAATTTTTCTTGTATTCTAATGAAGGATTTTGTTAGTCAAGTAGAAATCCAAAGTCCAATATGTCCAAAATTTTATTAATAGATGTAAGAGCTTTTATGCATATTATAAAAAAAATATCAATTTTTGTTATATTCGCCACATGTACTTTCGATAGAAAATAAAAAATTCAAGTGATATTTCAAGTTAATACCAAGATTATTAAGATGTTTTTTTTTTTTTTTAAAAAAAATACAGATATTCTTTCAAAGTATTGTTCCTATGATTTTTTTATAGATCTTCAAGAAAGGGTTCAACCATCATTTGGACCAATCTATATTCTATGAAAACATAGTTTGGTTTTACTCAGGGAATGTATTAATAAGAATTTGTCTAATAACTTCATATGCCATTCTAAATTTCTAGCAAGGGCTTCTATCTTATTTGTGAAAAAAAATGATGGATCTTTGCTAATGTATTAGATAACTTTTTTGCTATTGATAAAATTTTCTCATTATAACATACTATATTCTTCTATACAATAAATATTTTTTTTTATTGATTATGGTTATCATCTATGATTTGATGCTTTTGACTTTAAAAAAATTGATAATCTTGCAATGGAAGATTTAACAAATCATTTATCTGAGATATATACAATAATAAAGATACAATTAAAAAAAACTCAAGAATAATAAAAAAACCAATGCAAATGCCTATTGCAAGGAGCAACCTCAATTCTATATTAGCAATAAGATATGATTATTTTATTGCAATACTAGGACTAGCCACTATTATAATAATTTTGGTTTATTATAAGCTTGGACCATTTCCTATTTATGAATAAATCAACTTAGTTGCCTATTGATTACATCTATCAGAGTCTATGAAAATCCATCTAATATTCTATGAATCTCTTTTTGAATCATATAATACAACAAATATCTCAAGAAGAAGATAAATGCCACTATATTTTGTAAAAGCGGATAATAATTGATAATTCAAAGTAAAAAAAGTCTTAGATTTAAAATAGTATCAAAAATAGATTAGAATATCTTTTTTATTGGCATGCACATGATATTAATGAACATATATTAGAGATTTGTAAGAATCTTATAAAATTGCAAAGAAGGTTGATGCTTTTTATCAATGACATCCATCAAAACCAACATAAAGTATAACAAATCTTTGATATAAAAGAAATAAGATTCAAGAAAGATAATATCTACCTTCTATCTTTCTTGGTAATTTTTGTATATTTGTAGTGCTAAAGAGATAAAGAATTAAAAACTAGTAGATTCAACTTAAGAACTATTATTTGTTGATTTATTAGATAAGATATTACAATTGCCACAATCTTGAAGACAATGCAATAGAGGTGAAGATCCTCAAGAATTATAATTTTTTTTTTTTTGCTATAGATGGCAAAATACAATACGTTTGATATCATGATCTTGAAAGAAACTTCTAATATTTAGTAATTTTATTAGAAGTAAAAAAAACTCCTCATGGTGTTTCAATTATTTTATTTGAAGAGTTATGAAGGCCTCAACAATGATCAAATAATAAGGTGGTCTTTTCACCTTAGTATGAAACTCTATTGATGGCTAAGAATACCAATCAATTTTTTACAAAGAAAATAAAGATTAGAAAATGTAGCAAATATAATTTGCCACATCTTGGACTTCTTCAACATATGATGATTGTTCCTTATAGAATTATTCTCTAGAAAGGGATGTAATATCACAATTATATATATTTACAAAGATAAGAAGTATTTAATAGAAATGAAATGTAGATAAATTTAATATTATCTTATGGCAAAGCTTCTTAAAAGCTTCATAGATGCATATTTGACTTTATACATATTTGTAGTTAATTGATAGATTCAAAACTTAGCCAACAAGTTAATCATATGCTACATGTATTGATAGCTTTTGGTATAAGCTAATAATGTAGTGTGCATATAGGAAACCTTACCTTGCAAGTTAGAATATGTGTTATACAAAATAAATATTTATTGGAGGTCTAATAGAACATCACTATGTAGCTTCTAGTTAGATAGTATATATTGAGGCAAGAGTAATGACTTCTTTTCTTTTGTAGTGAAGAAGTCATTACTCATTCATACAAGAGAATTATAGTGAAAGATTCATCTTCCAAAACTCAAGTTCTTTTTGTAGGATGCAAAAAAATAAAATAAGTAGCAATTATGGTCTATATCAAAAAATAAATACAAAATATCTAAAATTCTCTAAACTCAAGTCAAAACCAACAACCTTATGTCTTTAGTGTAAAAATATGGAATATTAGAGATTGGACTGTTTTAAAAACAAAAACAAAATAATAGCTAATACTACAACAACAATATATATAACTTAAAAATCAAAACCAACATGAAAAGTGGAATATATAAAAAAAATTCTTTCTTTTTTCTATGCCCGTATTTATTTTATGCAAGCTTATTATTTTAAAAAAATAACTAAATAAAAAAAAATCAAAGATTATCATTGATTTATAGATATTGGAGAAATTCATTACTTACCTCATATCAAACATCACTTTATTGATTTCTAATCTCTCTCCTTTAGAAAATATAAAGTTCATCTTTGTAATTATACAATACTTTCTATCTATAAATAAAAAACCATTGAAATTGGTTTACTAAAAGGGCATTCATTGTGATTTTACAGACACTTTACATACTAGAATTCTACAAGAATTTATTTTCTACACAAAATATGATCAAACTTGAAGTGGATTGCTTATTAAAAATAAAAAAATATAAGTTACTTAGTAGATGATAATATAATTTTTAAATGTCATCTTTGAAAAAACTTATATGCCTTTAGCACCATCTTATGATTTCATACTCTAGTTGTTGCTCATACTATTATAGGCTCCAACACCAATTCTATATTACATGTTTAATTTTCTTGTAATGGCTACATGCCTATCCTTACTATGGTTGCACTTGATGCAACTTTCAATTCTCCTATCCATAACCACCCCATTAATACCAGTGTCTTTTATTTATTTATTTATTTATTTTTTTGCAATTCTAGTAGTGAATTTATCACTTCTTTTTTTTTCTTTTTCTTTTTCTTTTTTTGCAATTCTAGTAGTGAATTTATCGCTTCTATTCTTGGCACAGATGATCCCTTCAATATTAATCACAAACTACCATTTTGATCCATTGCTTTATTTCTATTGCTATCTTTTTTTGGCACTGATTCTAAATGATTATGGCCTTTTCCTTCCCAATGGTGATTCCAATGCTTTGCTACATGAGCCCTTGCCTCTCTAACATACTCCAGCTCAACATTTCAAAAATCCACAAAACTCTATTCCATTGCTGGCAGACAAACCCGGCTCTTCTCAACATGTGGAATAGTATCTCTGCCCACTCATATCTAGTTCTCCAAATTTTAAGAGAAATTCGTCCATGGCTGCTCTTGCTACTTCTTCTAAGTTTTAAGAAAAATGTAGAAAGCAAACTAATCTTCGGTATTGATGGCTAGGCCATTACAATATCCAACTTTTGGAGCAGTTAATTCAAAGTCAAGTTGTAATTATACTTTCATTCAAACATATTCCCTCTAATGTTTACTTCAATTGTCATGGCAAGCAAACTACTACAAACTTGTCCAAAGTAGCCACTTTAACACCTTGCAACCACTTGAGCATGCACATTCAGATCTCAATGGTCAAGTAGCTACTCCCACATATTCAAGCTTCAAGTATTCTATTGCATTTATTGATGATTATTCTTGATATACAATTATTTAACTCCTATTCCTTGGCTAGTACACCAGTTCCAAGAGAACGATCCAACAATGGCAGATGAACTGCAAGGCATGCTGGGTAAAACTCCACAGAACCATCAGTGCAACGGAGGCCCTGGTTCGCAACTCGATCGCCCCTGCTGCCGCAGCCAACTGCCACCAAATACGGGGAAAACTGAAACATTCCCGGATGGTCGCTGCGGAAAACGGCGTGCAAAAATCGACATTCCGCCACCCATTCATGCGTCATCCGGACTAGAGTCGCCCTCTGAACGGAGAGCCCAGACGAAACGAAGAGGACCATGAGTATATTCCAACCCAACTTCCGTTTCACACAGCACCGCTCGCCCGCAGTCCAAATCAGGAATCAAAGATTACAGTTCCGATACCGGACCAAATCCTGCTTCTAGAAGAGATGATTGACTGCCGAACGAACGCATCGAAGATACACAGAAGTGAGTCCTCACATGAGGCGATGATGTTCTGGGGGAATGACTGGATGGATGAATGAAGCATACAGAGTTCTCGGCGGGGACGCCCTCGGCGACCATCAAAGACCGCTGCAGCCAAAGGCGAACAGCGGGTCGGTCGTCCGAGAAGCCGCAGCGACGACTCGAGTTGACTTTATTGGTGGGCAACTCACATTGACAGTGTTCCAATCCAACATTCCTTTTAAGTGCAGGGTCCTCCCACCCGTTTCCTCGTCTCGCCCTCTTACGAATCGTGTGTCACATTGCGTGTCTCAATATCTCTGAAGCTCCTGCTCCCACTGCAGCGAGCTCCTCGTTGATCTCGTCGGAGCTTACAGACCGTAGCCATGTCTCAGACCATCTCTCACACTGAAGTGCTCCAGGTCCGCGCGGACGAACTATGGGAGGCCGTCAAGCAGGCGGACACGCTCATGCGCGCCAACATGCCTGAGTTCTTCGCAAAATCGGAGTATGTGCAGGGCAATGGCGAGCCTGGCAGCATCCGTGTGATCATCCTGGGTTCAGGTTTTGCTCCGCCCCGTCTTTCCGAGTCCTGGTTCCTGAATCCGGTGAATGCATTACCCCGCAGGCACGAATCTAGCATGGTCGGACTAGTTTCGCGCTCGCATTTGAGACAGTCTGGTTAACAGCGATGGTTGTTTTCTTCTCCTTCCTCTCTTTTTGCAGCCATCCCTCACGTGGGGCAAATCAAGGAACGCGTGGACAAGTTCGACGACGCCACCATGACGATGGCCGCCACCGTCCTGGAGGGCGATCCCCGCTACAGCTCCTTCAGTGAGCAGGTGCAGCTCGTCCCCAAGGGCGACACCACCGAAGCGACCTGGACTGCCAAGTACGAGCCGGTCGGCGACATGGGCCCTCCCGAAGAGAAGAAGGCCCTCTCAGCCCTGATGCTCAAAACCCTTGAGCGCGCCGTGCTCGACAAGAAAACCCTGACGCATGTCCAGACGCTGGATGTAAGTCCCGAAGACATCTGGAAAGCTTGTGAGAGAGTGGACGACATTCTCGCCAAGGCCATGCCCCAATTCTTCGAGACCGTCACGCTGCTGAACGGTCACGGCGAGCCTGGCAGCGTCCGCGTTGTGAAGATGGGACCTGGTAAAAACACCCTTCTCGCCCCGTTCCGTTTCGAACCCGCTGTACCGTCCGCCTGATCTCTCCCTCTAACAACTGGTTGCTCACGAATTTGCAGCTGTCCCCCACGCTGGAGAAGTCACCGAGCGCATGGACTTGTTCGACAAGGAAACCCGCAAGCTCGGCTACACAGTGCTCAAGGGCGATCCCCGGTACTGGTGCTTCAAAGCCACGATGCAGTTCAACGAAGGGCCCACCAAGGGTACCACCGAGGGCCTCTGGATGGCGTCCTACGGCCCCCTGGGCAACATGGGCCCTCCGGAGCACATCTGGGGCATAGTGCAGCTGGTGTGGAAGGCCCTTGCCGGCGACGTGAAGGAGCACCCGGAGCTCTACGCATAAGCTTACAGACAGCACGAGCGCGGATACAACAGTAATTGTCAATCGATCGTCGCATCGTGCAGACCGAATCACATGTTCTGGCTAAGAAGCAAGTATCTGCGCATTCGGTGGTGGTGATCGACAGGAGTAGCGTTTTGTTAGCCGGACCTGGATGTCCTCCGGGGCTTTTCTATTTTTTTATTTTTTTATTTTTTTTTGTAAGGTGCCGATGTAATGTAAAAACTTTCTATTGTTGATTATCGATGGAGACTTGTGCGTGAGGTGTGAGCGGGTTTCCAATGCAGTTTTGATCGATTTGCGCACGGGCAGCTCGAGTGTGGGGCATATTCATGTCTTGACACGGACGGAAATGGAAATAAAGACGGTGCAATGAACAGATGATCGGCTCTTTAAACAAATGAAAAGGAAGACACTTTCAGATTTAAGATCCCGAACGATTGAAAAGGATTTGAATCATAATCAATGCATTGTCCTGCATCAACATAGAATGAATATTTAAATGGAATAGTTGGACTGATAATCTGTCAAGAGCTTAAGATTGTGAAACATTAAATAGTGTTTAGGATTATATTTGAATCTAAGGATCAACAATTAGACTCTTCTCAACAAGGAGCAATTAAATCAAATGTATTATTAATATACAACAAAGATAAAATGATGGGAGTTGCAATCAGAGTAAGGATGTTTACTTACAACAAAGAAAACATGGTGAAAGGCAATGCCATTAGGAGGTGGTTTGTTTCATCATGTTTGTTAATTTTATATTGTCAGGAAGTTTATGTCTTAGGAAGTTTACATCTTAGGCGTATGATTGTAGGAAAATCCTAAACATTGGACTTATGATATTCATGCTTTTGATTAGAGGAATTTATCCCTCTAAGTGATTGAGGTGTAACATAAACTTTTAGAGAATAAGTGGTACACTTACTACATAATAACGTACCTAGATGCTCTTCAAGAGAAGAGAACATATATTTTTCTTTGATTATGTTAATCTATACAGCAAGAATATTTTTAATACTTGATAATAAACTAGAAATAATTTTTGATAGATGCATTTGGAGATCTCTTTTTTGAGATCTTTAAGCAATAAATTCATTATTTTGATCTTTTAAAAATACAAGCTTAGATTATTCTAGTAAGACATTTTGTAATTATATAAACAAAAATGCAATTAGAATATATTTTATGCAATAAGTTGGATATAAACTAAATAAATCTTATTTTACATATTTTTGACATTTGTATAATTTATTTATTTTAAAAAGAATTAAATATTAAATTATTAAAAAGCTGATAACTAGAAGAAAATGAGTATTAAATATTTCTCAAAAGCATAAAAAATTGAGTGAATGAGAGGAAAAAAACTACCAAGGTAGTTATAAGGTGGAAGAATATTCTTTTAATCAAAAGCCTAGAACAATTTGGCAGGGCTTTGTCTTACAAAAGAGGAGAAGAGAGAGAGAGAACTCAGCTACCCAAGCCTTCTTAACTAGGTGGAAGGAGGCCCAAAGGTTGCAGCCACATCTCCACCATCCAAATCAAAAAACTCCTAACTAAGATCAAGGGTCTATAAGCATTCTAAATGTAAATCCAATTTTAAGGGTAAAATTATATATAACTCAAAAAATAACAACTTTTTGGTAAAATAAAGACCACCAACGTTTCTAAAACACATTTTAATCCTGATGTTGATTATTCTCAAGCCCAAATCTGAGTTCTAAATTATAAAAATCAATTAATTTTTTAATTTAATTATAAGTTTCAATTATAATTCTAATTTCAATAAGTCTACTTGGAGATCAGTAAGGATTCTTGCCATCAAAGCCATCATGATTACCGTTCTTTAATTTAAACTCCCTTAAATATGAACTCTTAGCAAATCCAAGATCCAATTGCAATTTGGCCTTGAATTAATACACTTATGATTTTTCTTTTTTCTCCAATATTCAACTCTAAATAGTGATTAAAATCACTTAGAGTGGAAATTTCACAACAATTACATCACCTCCATCTTCTAGAAATCATCATTAATTTAACAATTAGATTTTATATTTTTAATCCATTTAAATTACAACATGAAATTTAAGCTTAAAAAAATCTTAAAATTAAATAGGAAGATAGAGCAATTAGACTTAAGGGATTTTTATAACCATAGTTAAATTAGGAATTAGCCTTGGGATTCAAAATTAAGACTGTGAATCAATTTAAGATATTATTTTTAAGACTTGGAAGAAAAATTCTACTAAAATTCTAATTTTAGTACGAAAAGAGAATTTAAATTAGATCAAGAAAAACAAATCATAGACCTTCCGAACTTATTATTTTTAGAAATTTTAACAATCATTCAATCTAATAATTAGAAATATTTATCTAATTAATAACCTAAATATACATGTAATGTCATAATTAACCAAAAAAATTAATTTAGATCCATAAGTTAATCATATTAGTATTAAAATTATATATATATATATATATAGATATATATATATATAAAATCACAAAAGTGATTATAACTAACTATTGAAGCTATTAATTATATTCACACTTGTAGCATATCTTTGAAGTTGTAATTTGTATGCTTTGTTTGTCCATTTATTTGAGATTGATAGGCTATAGAGATAACAAGTTTTGTTCCTAATAGCTTGAACAAGGCTTCCAAAATACTTTTTGTGAAGTGTGGATCCCAATCTGAAACAATGATACAAAGTAATTCATGGTGACAAAAGACAATATCAAAGAAGACTCGTATAAGTATTTGAGCATCTATATTCAAGTACACCACGGCCAAGTGAAGTTGCTTTAAAAATCAGTCCTTAAAGATGTCAATCACGGTGTGATTATGAAGCGTTTACAACATACATGTAATGAGATCCATAATCACCTACTCTCAACGTGTCATAGGTAGTAGAATTGGTTGCAATAGTTTAAGAAATGCTACATTATATACTTTATTATATTGACATGATTCATAAGAATGCAATAAAGTTTGAACATCATAATCCAAACCTATCCAAATTCATGTCCTTGAGATCCATTTTAGAGTCTTTTTTTGCTCTAGATGTCCAAATATTAGGATATCATGTCCCTCTTGAAATATGGGCATTTAAAATATAGCATTTTTAAGTACATAAATTTACTTTTTGAAATAGAGTAAGCCATCACTAAGACTATAATTTTGATACTTTATATTATTCACCTTCAGCCAATTACTAACCATCTTCAAATAAGCATTCCAATGTATAGCTTCATTCCATTTTGCTTCTTTGGTTAAATTTGATATGACACTATTAATGGTAGTAATTTCTACCTTATCTCCTAATTTGGCATTCAAGTCTAGACACTACAATAAGCTATTTGGGACAAAATATTGTTACCTTTACTTGTATTTAAGCTGGTTATTAAAAAATATCAATTATTCTTCCTAATAATGATGTTGTGATTTCATATTTTCTAGATGCAAATCATGTAGCAAGAATTGATGCTTAGTCTAAAAAACTATTAGTTTCTTCAACAAAAAGTATTGCCACACTTTTGTGGCATAAATAATTACTAATTGCTTTTGATTACATTTAAAGTAATTATATTTTATTCTTTTGAACTTGCTTGATTCATACGCCACAAGTTCAAGGTCTCTACTAAAGTCTTGTTGAAAGATTGTTCCAATAATAAAGTCTAAAGTATCAATGTCAAGTGTATAAGGAATGTTGAAATCATATGATTGTAATTTTGAAAAGTAATGAGTTCTTCTTTCAAACTATCAAAGTTACTTTGCTGCTCTAGTTTCCATTCAAATGATGCACCTTTTTCTAATAGATTTGTCAAGAACGCAACAATATATGCAAATCATCAAACAAAACATTAATAATATCCAATAAGGCCTAAAAACGAGTAGACTTCAGAAGCATCTTTGGAAGTTGGCTAATCCTTCATTATTTTTACTTTATTCTATTTTATGTGCATGCCTTCAAAGGATACTACATGCCCCAAAAAAGTAACTTTTGACTTCCAAAATTCACATTTTGTTTGCTTGCAATAGAAGTGACTATCTTATGGCTGACATATCATATTTCGTAGGTGTTGTTCATGCTTCTCAGGGATTTTATTATATACAAGGATATTATCAATGAAAACAACTACATACTTATCTAAAAGATTCCAAAATAATATGTTCATTTGATCCATGAAAGAGGTTGGAACTTTAGTGAGGCTAAAAGATAAAAAAAAAGCCATTCAAAATGTCCATAGTGCATACAAAATGGCATCTTTTTTATATCCTTTCTTACAATAGGTGTCTCTCAATAGCCACTCCAAAGCTCTAATTTATTAAAGATGATTGCAACTTGAAGTTAATCAAGAAGATCATCCACATATGGAAGTGGATATGCATTCTTAACATTCTGCTTATTGGTGCGTCAATAGTCAATCTAAAGCCAAAGTTCACCATCCTTCTTGGGTGCAAAGAATATATGTGCTCTCCATAGTGATGTGCTTTTTGAAAGAAAATCCTTCTCTAAGAATTCATCTAATGTCTTCCATAGTTCTTCAAGTTCATTTTATAGTGGGTGATAAATTGGCCGACTTATTGGCTTGGCTTCAAGTAATAGTTCTATTTGAAAGGAGGCCCTTCAATCAAGAGGCATGCGACTAGGTAGATTAGTTGGAAAGACATTCCAATATTTCTATATGAATTAATTTACTTGTTTATTCTTTTTGCCGTCTTTTCTTCCATACATGCAAGATTTGGAACGACCATATATATATATATATATATATATATATATATATTCCTTATACTATATTTGCTTTTTCATAAAAGTTATTTTTACGAGTAAGTCTTTAGTTGCAGATTATTTTTCTCTTCATTCAATATGGAGGTACAAAGAGTCACCTTCCATCAACCATCTTTGAAGAAGAATGTCCTTGCTATCCAATTAACTTCCTTATTTTCTACCTCTAGCCATGGCATATTAAAGACAACATCATATCTTAACTTTGTATCAAGGATATAAACTAAAAAAAGATGTATAAACTTAAAAAGTCTATATTAAAAGAAAAGTAATAAAATAATAATAAAGTAGTATGTATATTAAAAAAAAATTGAAATGGCTATTACCAAAAGACAAAGAAATTAGAGACTCTTAAATCTACACTAGAAACAAGAAAAGAATTGACAAGAGTGAAGAAGGCTTCACTCTTGCCTCTATATGTACTATCTAACTAAAAGCTATGTAGCAATGTTCT